TTGTGCTGGGGTTCTAAAACTGTCTGCTATCTGAATTTCAGGATCTTTTGGCTTGTCTGGAAAGTTCTTCTTCAAAATCTCATGAAGAAGAGCTTCTATGCCTTGCGAAGCCACCTCATCGCCTTCAGGAATTCCTATAAGGCGAATATTAGTTTTTGCTCTCCATTTCTCTTCCTCTTTGAGCATTTGGGAGAGTTCAAAAGCTTTGTCTTCAATGTCAGAAATCCTTTCTTCTGCTTGCTCCATTCTGTTACTGAGGGATTCTACTGCATTTCTCAGATCCTTGAGAATTCTTGTCTCAATGAAAATCTTTGCAAATTCTTGTCTTAATGTGTCAAAATCTTTGCTGGTTTTTGTCTTTGAATACATTGAATTCTTAAGACAACTTTTGAAATGCTCCTTGAATTTCTAATTTCAACTTTTCTCCATTCTATTAATCTTATTTGCAATCTAAGTTCTGAATTCAATTTCTGACATCTCAGCCATTTGTTCACCATATTGTTTCTTGGGGGAATTGATCTACTCTAGTTATTCATGTTACTGGAGTTTTTCCACTGATTCTGTCCCATGATTATTTTACAGTGTTTGGGTAGATGAGCAGATAAGGTGCAGTTGGGTTGGCAGGCTCCTAGAGTAGTGATTAACCAGCCCTTTGCCCAAGAGCTGTGACTGGTGTCTGTACCTTTTCTCCTAGAGCTTTGCAAAGGACCCATACAGTGCTATGGCCTGAGACACGGGGACTTACTTGGTGTGGTGCAGCTAAGTGCCTCTGTCTTATTTTCAGCTGGTCTCTGTCCTACCCTAGTGAATCAGTTGCTCTGGGTTGAAGTCTCAGCTGTAGAGAAATATCAGCAATTAAGTCACCCACCCCCCACAGGCAACAACTGGAAAAAGAAAATCAAACCTTCCCACAACCACACGCCTAGGGTACCACCTTGGATAGTCCTCAGGTGATTGGTCTAGTCAGAGATGTCCATATCAATTGTTGCAGTCAGCACCTGGTCTCAAGTGGGAGAGTTCAAAGGTCTCTGGCAACTAGATAGCAGGAAGTCTGCTGGCAGCTTGAGTATGACTCATTCTGGTGCTCCGGAGAGTCAGAAGGACACCACCAGCAAATGAATTAGTCTGGGAAAGTTGATGCCTCCTTCCCCACCTTGCACCTGTCACATCCATTTACTGGTAACCCTATAGGGCTGTGATCCAGTTCCCTCCAATGAGCAGGTGCTCCAGGGGTTTGCACCTGCCTGAGTCACAGGGAGATCTATGTCTCCTTGACCAGGCCTCCACACTCTGCCACCATCCAGCAGGGGGAGCTGAGGCCTGACAACCTCGGGTGGTTAATGGAAGCTGGGGCAGTTCACTCAGTTCCAGCCCTACCCTGATTGATGTTGCTGACACTTACATTTTCACAGAATTTGTGATTCTGTCCTGGCTATATTCCCCTGTGGACCAGGTGCTGTTGGAGTTCACAGAAACTGCGATTCTGTGCCCTGGTCTGTGCTGCTGCCTGGAGCTGGTGTGTCTGTCTCTGCTGCAGTCTGTATTGGGGTGGGTGCAGTTAGAGCTCACACTCAGCTCTGAGTTCCAGCCTCTGCCCGCCTGCCTTTGTCTCTGCTATGATTCCCTGAGGGCTGAGTGCTTCTTAGCCTTAGTAAAGCAGTCCTTCTGGTTCAGCCCTGCCCTGGGAGTATGCCATCCCTGAGTGCGCCTTCTATTCTCCATCCCTGCCATGCCCCACCCAGGCAGGTACCACCTTAGGCATATCCTCATGAGGCCTGCATTACTGTCCCAGGTCTGTTCCACCAGTGTCTGCCACCAAAGAAGATGCCTGGCTTTCTCTGGTTGCCCAGAGAGACAGGGAGTGTCTCTCCAAAATATCCCCAGGGGTGTGAGTCCTATCGTTCCTGCTGCTGCTGCTGCTGCTGCTGCTGCTGCTGCTCTGTGCCATGGGGCACTGCCTCTCCTTCTCCTGTATGGTTCCTTCAGACCACCATCTTCTTCTTACCTCTGTGCTGCAGAATCAGCACAGACCTGCAACAACCCACACCCTGTCCACACCTAGAAAAAATGCCCAAGAATCTGGACTCCATGGGGGACAGGCTTCTAGACCTCAGGGTGAGAGTGGAGGGGAGTGCTGGGAGTTCAGAATTGGAGGTAGAGAATATATACAGTTTTATGCCTGGCAGGAGAGTGCCATGGCACCCTTATAGGGGAAAGAGGTCCAGTTTTTAGAGGGTCTCTCCTGTGGGATAAAATGGGAGGATGTTTGAACTCTGCTCGCTTGTTTGTAGAAAGTATACTGAGAGCCATTCTCAAGGGGAGCCCCTGTCTGCTTGGCAGTGGATTTTGTACCTATTGTTTGTATCCTTGAGGTTGCAGCTCCCCTCAGCAGGGTTGATGTGCATTCTGTTGGCTTAGTGCCAAATGATCAGCTTACTTGCTAAAACTTCTGTCCTTAAACTGTCCTTCTGGACGGGAGCCTCTGTGGAAAGCTGGCTCCAGTCGGCCATCTTGCCTCCTGTTTGTAATAGACCTCTTGAAGGGAAGAATGTATTACTGAGTGAATGGCACTGGGGTACCATTTCATGGAATAAGATGCAATTGGACTCCTTGCTTTTAAGCAATTCCAAGTGAATTCAATACTTAAATATGAAAGGTTAAAAATATAAAACTATTATAAGAAAATCTCAGAAGACATTCTGGGAAATGAGGAAGACCTAAGACTGGAAACTCAGAAGCTTGTAAAGAGATGCCAGAACTATTTGACTATATTTGAGTGTGGACCTTTTATATGACAAAAGAGACAGTGAGCAAAGTCAGTAACTAGACAAGTGGGAGAACTGGAAAATAATATTTGTAGCACAAGGAAGAGAGGGCTAGTGCATATCATATACAATGATTTTTCCAAATTGATAAGAACCATTAAAAAAAAAGAGGAAAAGGAAGAAAAGAAAAACTCAGGAAAATAAAAGAGTGAAGGATACAAAAATGCAGTTTGTTGAAGAGCTAGTCTAGGCCGGGCATGGTGGTTTATGCCTGTAATCCTAGCACATTGGGAGCCTGGGGCAGGAGGATCACTTGAGCTCAGAAGTTCAAGGCCAGCCAGAGCATGACTGAGACCCTACCTCTACTAAAAATAGAAAAATTAGCTGGGCAGGCACCTATAGTCCCAGCTACTCAGAGGCTGAGGCAGAATTGCTTGAACCCAGGAGTTTGAGGTTGCTGTGAGCTAGGCTGACCCCAGAGCACTCTAGCCTAGGTGACAGAGGGAGATTGTCATAAACAAAAAAAAAAGAACAAATCTACATGTTCAGCAGATACAGGAAAAGGTTCTGAAACTCAATAGGGAAATACAAATTCAAGTGGCATAACAAGGCCATATGTAACAAGGCCACAAAGGATACCTCTTTAATCCCTTCAGACTGGAAAAAACAATATCCATTGCTAATGGGCATGCAGGACATGGGTACTACAGGTAGGACTGAATTGTCACAGCCACTTGGAAAGCATTCTGGTGACTCAGGTACTTACAGTCCATCCATCCCATGGCTGAGACCCAATTTCTTACAAAACGAGAGCGTAGATGTAAGAGTGTGTTTATTGCAAGCATTGTTTGTAGGTAAAGAACCAGATGTAAAGCAAGATTTATTGACAGAGGTTGGGTGAGTGACTTATGTATGGTGTTTTTAGGCCAGTACGTACTGTGCAGTTACTAAAAAAGAATACACTTGTGCAATGCAAATTAACTTTCATGAGTAATTGACTGAGACACAAAAATAAGGAAAATTGTAAATAATGCCCTATTTTGTAAAACAAATGTACTAAATTTAAAAACCACCATATGAGTATATATGATTAATTATAACGGTGGTAATGATTCTGTGAACATGGAAGTATAGAAATGACATAATGGGCTGGACGTGGTGACTCATGCCTATAATCCTAGCACTCTGAGAGGGCCGAGGCTATTGGATTGCCTGAGCTCAGGAGTTGGAGACCAGTCTAAGTAAAACAAGATCCTGTCTCTACTGAAAATAGAAAAAACTAGCTGGGTATGGTGGCAGATCCCTGTAGTCCTATCTACTTGGGAGGCTGAGGCAGAAGAATCAGTTGAACCCAGGAGTTTGAGGTTGCTGTAAGCTATGATGCCATAACACTGTCTCCAGGGCAAAGAGGGAGAATCGGTCCTGGAAAAAAAAAAGGAAAGAAAAGAAATGATTGGTTAAAATGGACTATTTGGGATGGAAAGATGGAGGTGAGATGGGGAGAGGGTAGCTAGGCAGACATGTAATAGTAAAAAACAAAGACTACTGATAATGTTTACTGTTTTCTCCAGTAGATATGAAGTGGTCACATGTAAAATTAAATGCATGTATGTATCAAGAAATATGAACATAAACTAGGGAGGTGTTTCCAGAGCAGCATTTTATGACAGATATTCTGTGATGAGGTCTGACCTGGTTTTAAGTAACTCCTGGAGTGAGAAGGAGTCTCAAATGTGGACTGTTCTCCAGAGCTAAGCAAAGCCACGTCCTACAGGAGGCTGGAGATGTCAGCAGGGTTCTTGGTCTCCTGCCAGCTCCTTGTCAGCCCCATGGCTGGATTGGACAGGTGGGAGGAGGCCGGTCTCCACCTTTGGGTGGCACCCAAATCGGAATGAGGGCATAGAGACTTGGGGAATGTAGATGGAGCCTGGGCAGCTGGATCTAGTCACAGCACTACAGTGGGAGGACAAAGGTGTCCTATAGCAGGGGCTTCCTGTCCAAGACCAGAACTGGCTTCCCTGGGGGCTACTCAGGGGAAGAATTGAAGTAAAAGGCCAGACCACTGACAGAATTTTTGTTTTTGTTGTCAGTGACAAGAACATTGTGTAGAAAATACATCTTTATGGGAAAATATTTTGCAAACCAGATTGAAGGCTACTGAGTTTTGTTGGTGACCAGTTTGATAAAACACTGACTTTCTTTCTTCTCCCTCCCCTTTCCCTGATCCCCACCCAGCTGGATGTGTGGAATCTGGCGAAAATGTAATGAATACAACTTATGTTTTCTCCAGGAAAAATCTTAAAAGGTAGGAAATTGAGGGTATGTTGGAAATGTGTATCCTTTCTTTTTTTGCTTTTACTGAACAGTGGTGACCTTTTCTAAAACTGTGATTCATTCTCCTCTTAGGCCCATCGCTCACCTTCCATGTCCTGGGAAAGCGACGCTTGCTGTCCGCTGCTGCCCAGTCTACTTTGAATTGAGGCCGGTGGTGGAAGCAGGTACAGGACCAGGGACTGTGCTGTGTTTGTCCCTGAGGCAGGGCAACCGCACAAAGTGGAGATTTGGGTTCTTACTTAGCTTTGGGAAGGCCATGTACATGGGTTTCATTCAGTGTGGTTACTCTTAGAAGCTGGAGCAAAGACTGATGTCACCAAAATACAGTAGAACCTCTGTAAGTTGACCACCCAAGAGGCTGTAATAAATCAGTCAACATACAGAGGTGGTCATCATAACGACCTGGGCCTGCTGTACTGATATGTACATGTAGTGCATATGTCTGGTCTTTGAAAATTAGGTCAACTTAAGGAAGTGGTCAATGTAGGGAAGTGGTCAACTATGGACTTTTACTGTACATTACATGACCACCTTTTCCATTGTTCAGAATACACTTTTTTGCTTCACGTAGCTTTAAAGGACTATTAGTACTTGTTTTGTTTTTCCACTGGTTGAGTGGCATCCAGTATCAGTTTTCTATGCAGTAAAACTGAGTATGCATTGGATTTTTGTTTTTAAACCTCCCTCCTCCAACCCAGCTGCTTTTATCAGTGGCTTTAAGCAGTCTGATTACAATTTACTTACAATTTACAATCATTTTCTTCACATTTCTTGTCCTTGGGGTTCATTGAACTTCATAGATATGTGTGCTTATAGTTTTCAGCAAATTTGGGAAGTTTCAACCGTTCTTTCTGATACTTTTTCTGTCACCCCCTCCTGCTCTTATTCAGACACTCCAATTACGCATGTATTAGGCCGTTTGAGGGTATTCCATGGCTTATTGATAATGTTTCTTTTTGTCAGAGTTTCTTCCTTCAGTGTTGTATTTTGGAAGTTTCTATAGCTATGTTTTGAATTCACTAATCTTTTCTTCTGTGTGACCTGCTGTTGGTCCCATCCAGTACACCTTTCATCTATGACATAGTTTTCATCTTTGTGAGTTCAGTTTGGGTCTGTCTTATATATTTTGTCTTTGCTTAACATGCCCCATCTTTCCTCTTGCTTCTTGAACATACATGACGTATAGTACAGTTACGGTAACTTTAATGTCCTTGTGTACAAAGGGATGGTTTTGATTTTTTTCTCCTCATTTTGGCACATATTTTCCGGCTTCTTTGTATGTCTGATAATTTTTGGTTAGATACGTGTATGAGACATTGTGAATTTTACCTTTTACCTTAGTGGAAACTGGATTTATTCTATTCTTGTTTCCGCCCCCTGAGACAGAGTCTCATTGTGTTGTCCAGGCTAGAGTGCTGCGGCATCATCATAGCTCACTGCAACCTCAAACTTCTGGTTTCAGGCAATCCTCCTGCTTCATCCTGCCAAATAGCTGGGATGATTAATGCCCCCCACAACACATGGCTAGTTTTTCTATTTTTAGTAGAGATGGAGTCTCGCTCTTGCTGAGGCTGGTCTTGAACTTCTGAGCTCAAGTGATCCTCCCACCTCAGCTGCCCAGAGTGCTGGGATTACAGGTGTGAGCCACCACGTCCACCCTATTTTTATTCTTATAAATATTTTTGAGGTTTATTCTGGGATGCAGTTAAGTTACTGAAAATCATTTGATACTTTTGGGACTTGCTTTTAAGCTTTGTTAGGCGGCATTTAGTCTGGGGCTGAGTTTTTCCACTCCTGAGTCAAAGTCTTCTTAGCACTCTAATCGGTATCTTGTGCAGTATGAAATTTTCCACTCTGGCTGGGAGAGCATTTGGTGTTTCCAGCCTTGTGTGAGCTTCAGGGATTATTCTTTCTAGCAGTTCTCTCTCCAGCCTCGGGTAGCATCCTAACACATGGGCACTGCTCAGGTGCACAGCTGAGGACCCGAGAGGAGCCCTGAAGATCCCTGCAGCTCTGGTCTCTGGCCCTGTGCCCATGAACTCCAGCTTCCTTGACTTTCCCAGACTCCCAGCCCCATCTTCTCAACCCAGGGAGTTTTCTGGACTCTGCTAACTGGGCCTGGTGATTGCAGGTGTAATTTGTGACCTCATTTGCTTCCTGTCTTTTGGATAGCTGTCCTTTGTTGCCTGAGGGCCAGTGTCTTAAAACCATTGTTCTATATACTTTGCCTGGAATTTTAGGGGATTTTTAGCTTGGGAAAGTAAATCTGGTCCTCATTACTCCTTGACTGGAAGTGGAAACTATATTTAACTTTTGGATCCTTTACTTGAATGAATAAAGTCCCTTGATAAAATGTTTCTAAGTGACATTTACTTTTCCTTGTCAGAGAGTGAACTTTCAGATTGACTCTCTGGTTGTCTTTTGTTTCCTCTTCTCTTTTGGATCTTGGTGCCCATGACTCTTGGTTCATGACACACTGTCCTCGTTATGTTTTATATATTCATATATAAAATAATATAAAAGGCTGAATTCTTTTGTCAAGCACATCATAAACTATTTTTTAGTAAAATCATGCCATTAAGTACCCCGGAGAGGGCTTTGTTGGGGAAATTAGTTAGGAGCATTGTTTTGTCACTTTGTCCCTATTCCCCCTGCAGACAAATCATCACAAGAGCTGGGTCCAGAGCTGGTGAGTCTGCCCTACCGCCTGGTGTTTGCTGTGGCTTCCGAGGACTCTGTGCTTCTCTATGACACCCAGCAGCCTTTCCCTTTTGGTTACGTGTCTAATATACATTACCACACCCTGAGCGACATTTCATGGTGAGTAGCCGGGGACGTGGCTGAAGGAGACAAGTGTCACCCTGGTGTGAGCTCTGGGCTGAGGGAGCTTTTCGTTACTGAAGAGGGCTTATTTGACCCTATTTACCAGTTGTTTTATGAAAGGAATCAATAAAAAGGGAAGCCGTTTGCTACAACACTTGCTTCTACTTTAGCACCAGTGGGTTTTGATGCCATTCCAGTTGTCCTGTGGGAATAATCAAACTATGATAAGTAGAGGGGACAGCCCTGACTCATCAGGCCCTCCAAAAGGAAACTGTCCCTTGCAAGCCCCTGCTGCCCAGGACAGGGAAGGTCCTCCATGGCTATGCCTGTCCTGATGGTGTCACTTATCACTCGCCCTTCAGCCACCTTTGGTCCCCTGGTTCAGCCTCCACTGCCTGTTTGGCTTAGTGTGAACTCCTGCCAAGACTTTGCCACTTACCCTCTATTTCTTGCTCCTTATATATCTTTTTCTTTTAATTTTCGGGGAAAAACAGGTTATCCTGTTAAAGATAACAGGTTGTCTTTATTCAAATGAAAGTTGATTATAGTACAGAGAGGTTGCAGTGACTTGGAAAATTGGGGTGGTGGTAGGAAAGGGAAGGCGTAAGGAGCTCACGTAGACCCTTTCCTTCCAGCCACATTCCCCCCCGGCTTTTGCCTTCCAACAAAACTTGTGATTTTGCTTAAACTTCCACTTTGTAACTAGTAATGAGAGTGTTAGATGTGGTCTATAGACTTTGGTAAGGTCTGTAACTTTTTTCCCTCTTTTGGGAACAAAGGTCCAGTGATGGGGCCTTCCTGGCCATTTCTTCCACGGATGGTTATTGTTCGTTTGTGACATTTGAGAAGGATGAACTTGGAATTCCTTTGAAAGAGAAGCCACTTTCGATCGTGAGAACTCCTGATACAGCAAAGAAAGCTAAGAGTCAGACACACCAAGGGTCTTCGCCAGGACCCAGACCGGTAGAGGGAATCCCCAGCAGCAGAACTCAGGACCCCAGCAGCCCCTGTACAACCTCCCCCCAGGCCGGACAGTCTCCAGCCCCAACAGTGATCAAGGACACCCCTCCGACTACTCCTGGTGTCAAAAGCTCCTTGTTAGCACCTTCAGAGGAAAAGAACTTGCAGCCCAGTAGTCAAAATACGAAAGCCCACCCATCCCGAAGGGTCACTCTGAACACTTTGCAAGCCTGGAGCAAGACAACACCCCGGTGGGTACTTTTAATAGGGTAAGACATTATCATTGCAAAATGAAATACCAACTGAATAACTCTAACCTGTTCTAAGTGAAATTCCATGCAGTAAATACATCATACATACGTTGTCATAGAAAGACTACTTAATATCACATCCAAGAACATCATTTCTTACATGTAGCCTCTGTGGTTCCCTTCATTTCTACCTGTCGTATAAACCCAGGCTCTGGTCCCCACACGTAGACTGTGATTGGTTGTCACCTGTTATACTTTGTACTGTCCGGTATATATACTTGCTCCCCTAAGTCCCGTATACCTTGATCTCCAGCCTGGCCCTGAATGTTGTGTTCCCACAGCATGCTCTGCCTTTTATTTCCCCTGGGGAAACCCTGGGCATCTACTGTCCTTGGTGAAGATGCCCATGTCATCCTAAAAGACTGATTTGAATGCCCCCTCTTTGTTCCTGTCTTTGTGGCCTTCGGCCCTCTTTTCGTCACACATCACAGCAGGTGCTTTGTTTGTGCTTCTGTTTCTCCTGCTGGATTATGAGCCTCTGAGGGCAGGAAGCGTGTCCCCAGTTTTTCTTATGCCTCCTGCCGGGGTTGTAACAGATACTTCTAGGATATAGGAAATCCAAGGAGGGTCTTCTGAGACCGAGTGTGATGTTTCCAGCAGACTGGCTCATGGGAAACATGAGTGTCCTGGTCTGATGATAAATGGTCTCCAGGGTGGCCCTGCAGTTGTTTCTTCCCTGTTCACGTCAGTCTAGCTGACATGCATAACCTGCGTCTGCCACTCCTGCTCCAGACAGGGCCACTTAGCGGGTCCTCTTCTGTCAGCCAGCATAGCCTCCAGTTTCCTTTCTTCCTTTGTAACTCTGCTGTCTACTTAGCCCTCTGACTCTGTATACCTCCTTCCCTACCAGTCCTGCTGCCCCGTCACCTTCCAGATCAGCTGAGTTGGGAGGTGGGCTGTGGAGGGTGTGGGCAGCGAGTTAGATGGAAGCACCGTGTTGCTCTCACTGTGTTCACATGGACTCCTTCATCAGCAAGTACGTACCATAATGCTAGTGTAGTGCTGGTCTCTTTTTAAGTCTCTGATTCTTTCTGCAGACTACCAAATTATTTTTAAATTTGTCTATATGTTTTTAGGTGGGAGAAGTTATTCTTTGAAATATTTTTGGTATTAAGGTGTTTTCCCTCTCTTGATTCTAAATGATTTACCAATCTTCTTACAGTCGTAATCTTTTTAAAACAATAATAGTTGTTGAAAATTAACTAGATTTATAAAAGAATTATCTTTGTTTTGGCATATTCCGCATCGGATAGCCATATCTGATAGCCTTCTACATACAGCAGCCAGGAAGTTACTGAGTACCCCATAGGTAACTGAAAAAACAAAACTTGCAAATGAGAAAACACATAGGTTTTGGCCAGGTATATGGCCCAAGCCTATAATCCCAGGACTTAGGGAGGCCAAAGTAGGAGAATCGATTGAGCCCAGGAGTTAGGGACAAGCCTGGGCAACATAGTGAGATCACATCTCTATAGAAATAAAAATATTAGCTGGGTACAGTGGCCAGTTCCTATAGTAGCTGGCTACTTGGGTGGCTGAGGCAAAAGGATCACTTGAGCCCGGGAGTTGAAGGCTGCAGTCAACTATGAACATACCAGTGCACTCTGGCCTGGGTGACAGAGCAAAGACCCTATCTTTTAAAAAAAAGGAAAAAAGGTCGGGCATGGTGGCTCACACCTATAATCTCAATATTCTGGGAGGCTAAGGTGGGTGGATTGCTTAAGCTTACAAATTCAAGACCAGCCTGAGCAAAAGTGAGACCTTATCTCTACTAAAAATAGAAAAACTGAGGCAAGAGGATCACTTGAGCCCAAGTTTGAGGTTGTTGTGAGCTATGACATCACGGCACTCTACCCAGGGTGACAGCTTGTGACTCTGTCTCAAAAAAAAAAAAGGTTTTGAAACTTTTAGATGGCTGGTTATGGTTTAAGTTAACCATTATAAATGTTATGGTATAAGGTAGTACATAAATGTAATTATTAGTTACTAAGCACAATATAATCAGCTGAAAAATTTAAGTTATTTCTTTTAGTGGTTTTGAAACTTGGTATCATATATAAACAATTCCTATGACACTAATGAGCTTTTTTTTTTTCTATCAAGGAGAATAAGCTTAATGCCCTTAAAGATAGATACACCACCAAATTCTGCCCCAACCAGTGTAATTTCTACCACTTGCACAGAAAAAATTCAATCAGGTAAGTGATATTATTACTGATTTAATATAATAAAAAGGTAGAATATCTTTTCTTTTGTTCTTTTGGAAATTAATGCCATCTAATTTTAAGTCACTTCTGAGAAAGCAAGGATATGTCTGCTAGAAACATCACTTATCTCTCCACTTTGCCGATCGGAACACCCTTGTGAGTTAGATCAGATTTCTCAACCTGAAGACTCTTGACATTTTGGGCCAAATAATTCTGCTTAGCAGCGGTACCTATCTGTAGTGGCCTCAAATGTCACCTGACACTGCCCATTGTCCACTGAGAGGCAGAGCTGTCCCTCGTTGGGAACCATTGCAATAGAGTGTAAGAACTTCCCAGGCAGTTCAGTTCCTTATCTGGGCTCTATATTTTGTAAATGTCAACTTTTAACTCACAGTCTTTGCTTACTTGCCAACATTTGTTGGTGTTTCAGAGATGCCTGAAGACCCTCAGAGCAATTCACCAGAGCTGAAACGGCCTAAACTTGATGGAAACAAACAAAGTAGCCAAAGACTGGAGTCTTGATGGGACCTCAGTTTCCGCTCGGAGGCCTATAGGCCTGGGAACTCGGTGTGTGCAGGGAGGAGGTGAGGCCGAAGGCGCTGGACCAGCACCATCCACAGAGTGGAACAGATGCTTGTGAACTGATTTCTATATCAGGACTTGGACATATGTACTGATTTTTCTCCAGAAATATGGATGCTGTTGCATATGGTATCCACTTTTAACTTGGGGATGTGAACATTTTAACACACTAATCCTCTTTTTGATGGTCTTCTGAAACTGGAGCTGTTTAATATTATCTAGCATGAAAATCAGTAAACCCTCCTGTGAATACTCATAAAAGTACGGACACTTTATGGGCAGACTCCTTTTAAAGTTAGAGGAGAAAGTAATTTGAGAAGATTTATTCTGTTGAATTTTTAAGTGTTTGAAGTGATTATTAGATTTAGCTTCTCATTAGTTGATTAATTAAACTTTGGAAGATTGTTATATTTGTTTTTTGATTCTAAAGGTAAATAATACTCATTCTGGAAAATTAGTAAACTATAATGCTAGAATGAAGTAAAAAAAAAAAATGAGGGTTGGAGGTGGGAATCACCCATAATCTTACCACCAGAAGTAACCCTTGTAGTAGCGTATTTCCTTTTTAGCATTTTTATGGATCTTTTTTCTTTTTCTTAAGAGAGAGGAGAGGCCCAGCACCCATAGCTCAGTGAGTAGGGCGCCAGCCACATACACCAAGGCTGGTAGGTTCGAGCCCTCCCGGGCCTGCTAAACAACAATGACAACTGCAACAACAAAATAATAGCTGGGCATTGTGGTGGGCACCTGTAGTCCCCTCTACTTGGGAGACTGAAGCAAGAGAATCATTTAAGCCCAAGAGTTTGAGGATGCAGGGGCAGTACCTGTGGCTCAAGGAGTAGGGTGCCGACCCATATACCGGACAGACGTGGCAGGTTCAAACCCAGCCCTGAACAAAAACTGCAAAAAAAAAAAAAAAAAAAGTGTTTGAGGTTGCTGTGAGCTGTGACACCACAGCATTCTACCAAGGGCAACAAAATGAGACTGTCTCAAAAAAAAGGTGAGGGAGACGGGGAGATTTTACTTTAGAAATAACTTGGTATCCAAATAGGTTAACTTTTTAGATTGGTTTTGCAAACAAAGTATTTAGCAATTTCTGCTTTTGTTCTCTGGGCCTGGGAATGAGCACCGTGTCCTTGCCATCCATCAGGAGTAGATGTGAGCACTGCAGACGACGCGTGTTGAAGGAGATAGTTGCATATGTGTGGAGCCCTCTCTCAGCTCAGGAGATACTGGGTGGTGTGAGTGAGAGCTAATCAGTCTTGTGGCAGCTGGGATGAAGCCCCATTTAGAAGCTAGTGCTGTGGCCTCCCCTCCAGAAGAGTTGTTACACTTGAATTCCATAGTGTGTGAAATGTGCACTTGATGAGTCATGCAAATGACGGCAGAAGTCCTAGGGCCCCCTCCCAGTCTGAAGCATCAAAGTATGAAAGAGTTCAGGACCCGCAGTTAAGTCTGACAGGAATTGGGCTTCAGAGTAGAAGGCACCTTTTTTTTTTTTTTGAGACAGCGCCTCAAGCTGTTGCCCTGGGTAGAGTTTCCTTGTATCACAGCTCACAGCAACCTCCAACTCAACTCCTGGGCCCAAGCAATTCTCCTGCCTCTGCCTTCCAAGCAGCTGGGACTACAGGCACCTGCCACAACGCCCAGCTATTTTTTGGTTGCAGCCGTCATTGTTGGGCAGCCTGGGCTGGATTCGAACCTGCCAGCTCATGTGTATGTAGCTGGCACCTTAGCCACTTGAGCCACAGGTGCGGAGCCGCATGCCCTCTTTTTAACTAGGTTGGTAACAAAGAAAATAATTGGAGAGAAGTGTTAATTTGTTGTTTAATCCACAACCTAGTAAATTAGGAGTCTGCCTTCCTTTCAGATGGGAAGGTGGTAAACTAGAGATGATTTGCATTATAGAAAGCCAAAAGGTGTACATGTAATATGGGCACGGGTCCTATTCCCAGTGAAGTTTGAAATGTCCAGTGGCATCTGCTTGATCATGGTTCTCAACTCTAGGCACACATTGAAACTGAAGTCTGACCCAGAGCTGACACGCTGCCTTTGCAGTGTCTGCCTTGTGGGCCATTGTCTGAACGTCAGGATTTTAAGGCTCCTCCACTAGTTGCGGTGCATAGCCAAGACTGAGAGAAAGCTTTTTGTGGTTATGGTTTGTTCTGGTTAAATACATTTCCCCTGAAACCTTTTTCCTGATTCTCTCTGCCTCATCACTGATGGATGTAAAACCCCTCTTTACCAGTGCTGCCAGGTGAAGACAGTTTGTGGGGACGCCAGCAGCTCTTCCGACAAAGGGTAATTCTACACGTCACACAGTTGGCCCCTGTGCAGACAGAAGAGTGGTGGTGGGTCCCCTGTCCGCAGTGCAGCCTGCGTTGGCCCCACCCGAGGGGAACAGCGTTCATGTTTTACAGTTGTTTCTTGTGCAGCAATGATGGAAGTGACGGGGTGGGAGGTGAGGCACACCTATAGCCTGAAGTGCACGTTTGTCAGAATGGCCAGCTGCCTGTTTGTCAGCCACACTCCTTCAATAGAAATACAGAATAAGCAATAAAAGATGAGGTTACGTTACCTCTGTGTTACGGTATGAAATGCTTACGTAGTTTACTGGGGAAGCCTAGGCTGAAGGTTAGGTAGTAGTCCTTACAAACAATCATTATAAGATTGTCCCTACCATCCTGGGTCTGGACTTGGATGGGTTTTTGTTTGTTTGTTTGTTTGTTTGTTTGTTTTTGAGAGATGGGGTCTTGCTCCGTAGCCTAGGCTGTAGTGCAGTAGCATGAGCATAGCTTACTGCAACCTTGAACTCCTGGGCTCAAACAATCCTCCTGCCTCAGCCTCCTGAGTAACTGGGACTATAGGTGCCCACCACAACACCTGGCTAATTGTTAAACAATATTTTGTAGAGACAGGGTCTTGCCATCTTGCCCAGACAGGTCTTGAATTCCTGGGCTCAAGTGATGCTCCCCTGGGTTAGCCTCCCAGAGTGCTGGGATTACAGGTGTGAGCCACCAGGCCTGGCCTGTTTGTTTTGAGCAGCATTTCCAGATGTCTCCAGCAACTCTGCCTTTGATCATTAGTCCCTGCTGCTAGGTGGCTAGAAGAGAATGAGGCTTAGTGAGACTGGGATTAACTCGCATGCATTCCCTGGAGTCTGGGCTGTGGCCACAGCTGGGGCTTTTGAAGATAGCTGGCAAAGGGAACTGGGCAGTGCTGAGGGCGTGGCAGAGGGCGAGCCTCCCTTTCCTGCTGCCGCTGCATGGTGGGTAAGGATAAGCAGTGCCTCCTGGGGCTAGAGGGGGTGGCCAGCCAGCCATTCTCAGGAGAGGCCCGCAGGATGAGGCCATCGGCAGGGCAGATCAGAGGATATGCCACAGGGCAGAAGTCTTGGCCAGCCATCAGTCATGTACTTCTGCTGCCCCTCACACCCACCTCTGGTGTCTTTGCTGACAGCTGTCACATCTACACTTTAACAGTACCCTTGGCCCTTCTCAACAGAATTATTGGTGTCCGTTTACACAGTGTAGGGCCTGAGTCCTTGGCCCCAGACTTGCCGAGTGGTGGGGATGAGCTGGCCTGTTTCCCTCCCTATCCTGGAGTCTCCCAGGTCTTCCGAAGCTCCCCTTTGTGCCATTTGTCTGTATTTCAGTCTGCTCCCTCTCACCTGGCCTAGGAGTTGGGTGGGGTATGAGACAGACTTTGGACACACTAAGTTCCTTCACCCGAAGACGCTCTGTAGCCCTAAAAATGGATTTTCCTTCTTTAGTAGGCAAGCGGGTGAGGAAAAGGTAGGGTGGCCTTCCAGGCAGAGTAAAAAACTGATTAAAATGGATGTAAGACAAACCAGATCACACTCCCCTCCCTTGTATGTTGAAGCACTAGACACTTGTGAGCACGCAAATTCTCTGGCCACTGGGGGTCACTGTCCCACTGAATCTGCCCTGCTGCTGCCTCTTAGGCCTAAAGGCCCTGTCCCTAAGCCCCACCTCCTCTGACCAAGCTGTGTCCCTGTGCAGTTTTGGGTTAGTCTTGGCCTGAATATCTTAGAGCAGCAGTTCTCAACCTGTGGGTCGAACGACCCTTTCACAGGGGTCACCTAAATAGATCATGCATATTAGATATTTACATTATGATTCATAACAGTAGCAAATTACAGTTATGAAGTAGCAATGAAAATAATTTTATGGTTGGGGGTCACCACAAGATGAGGAACTGTATTAAAGGGTTGTGGCTTTAGGAAGGTTGAGAAGCACTACCTTAGAGGCCAGCTCCAGCCCCTGCTGGCCAGGCCTAGAGCAGAGCATTGTTCAACAAAGGTGGAAGAGGATGATGAGAGTTATGAGTGAGTGGTCATTCTTCTTTCACTTATTCTCTCATTCATCTAAGAAATGTTGATCTCCAGTGCGGGATCTCACACCTGTAATCCTAGCCCTCTCAGGAGGCTGAGGCAGGAGGATCACTTGGACTCAAGTTCCAAGGAGTTTAAGACCAGCTTGAGCAAGAGTGGGGCCCCTGTCTCTACTAAAAATAGAAAAACCAGCCAGGCATTCTGGCAGACACCTGTAATCCCAGCTATTTGGTAGGCTCAGGCAAAAGGAAGATCACTTGAGCCCAGGATTTGGGGGCTACAGTGAGATTTGATCACACCTGTCGATAGCCACTGTATTCCAGCCTGGGCAATGTAGACAGGCCCTGTCTTTGAAAAAACAATTAAAAAGGCCTTCTTGAGAACTGGATTCTTTGCCATTGAGAAGCAGATGTCAGTAGAACTCACTAAGATGGGAAGAGAGTCCCCTTTCTGGGATGGTGGAATTTGCACTGCTTGCTAACAAAGAAACAGCTGCCCATGGAGTCTAGGCAAGCACTGAGTGAGGGATGGGGAGGTGAACGGTTCTCAAGCTGCGGTCATTGGCTTCCCCCCCATCCCCCCATCAGGAGACATGAAACGCCTACTGGAGAAGTCCAGGCCAGAGAAGCCATCAGAGGAGAAACCCCCAATGAAGACGTGACCCACTTCCAGGATGGCAGGGCTTGGTGTGTGGCTCAGCATCTACAGCTATGACAGGTGCTGAGGGAGGCCATCACACACAGCAAAAAGGCATTTGCAACAGCCAATACTTAGAAACTAGAGTTAAA